GGATGTTCTGAGGGACAGACCATTCAACTATGACCCTCACCTTCTCGGGGTCTTCAGAAACCCCTTGGGGTGAAACAATGAAGCCCAAAAAGATGACGCGATCTACAAGTAAGGTACATTTCTTAATATTGACATAAAGCTGCTCCTTCCTTAAGACCTCATAAACTTGCATTAAGTGGTCCAAGTGCTGGCTAATCAACTGACTGTAAATAAGAATGTTGTCAAAGTAAGCAACGACAAACTTTCCCATAAACGGGCGCAACACTTCAGTATCCTCATGAAGGTACTCGGGGCATTACTTAACCCATAAGGCATGACTAACCACTCGTAGAGATCATCCTTGGTCTTGAAGGCAGTTTTCCACTCATCTCTGAGTCAAATCCAAGTCGGTGGTACCCACTCTTGAGATCAATTTTGGAGAATAGTGTGGCACCCGTCATCAAATCGAGCATATCATCCAGCCTCGGAATGGGGAAGCGATATTTGATAGTGATATTGTTAATAGCACGGCTATCAACACACATTCTCTAAGATCCGTCCTTCTTCAGTGTAAGAAGGGTCGGCATTGCGCATGGAGTAAGACTCTCCTTAATGAAACCTCGCCGCAGTAACTCATCGACCTGCTTCTTGAGCTCGGCATGTTCCGTGGGGGGTTCATGCGATTGTGTAGAAGGTTCGGGAGAGGCTTCAGGGCGAAGTCTATAGCATGCTGAATGTCTCTAAGTGGAGGTAACTGATCTGGGAATCATCGAGAAAGACATTAACATACTGTCCCAAAATGGGTTGGACTTCTTGAGGAATAGGTTCGACAGAATCGGCGGGAATCTCACGACCCACTAAGGCGTATAGAGGTGCTGGAAGAAATATCATATATGCAGCTACCACTATCCACGATGACCTTACAGTTCTTGTCTTTGATTTTGGTGTATGTGTGGAAAATCGCGGTCCTACACTAGTCATCCGTGGGTGTTGGGTGTGATAGAGCACATCTCACCACGCCGATGGGAGAGGTATCCAATTTCTGAAGACAATGAAGGACCGTAGTGTCGTCATCCTCCTCGAAGTACTCGCCTTTATCCTCCACTTGGTTGATTTGATCAACCTCAGGCTCGAGATCGACCTCAATAATCTCCTCGATGACTGCGACTTTATAGGGACTGAAGCACTGAGAAGCGATATACCCATACCCCTGGTATCGAAAGCACTTGGTCCCGGGACTGGACCGAGGGGTATCCAGGGTGGAAGATTTATTCCTAAAATTAGATCGAGGTGCAAGAGGACCCGTGGGTGGTCGAGTCGTGCTCCCAAAAGTGGGTCAGGCCGCAGAAGTGTGAGTGGAACTACCAAACGGTCTGTAGGAGGGCCTAGAGACATGTGAATGGCTCGGGTGCTGTGAACGAGTCTCCTCTAAATCAAGCACTAGGTTGTAGGCATTCTCCAGTGTAGTGACGTTCCGGGCAAACAGCTCATTGCGAAGATCCTCTCGCAACCCGGTTCGAAACATAGACAAGATTTGCAGGGGGTGGTAGAAGTCTCCCCCTTGCAGCGAATCAGGAAGTCATCGAAGGAGGCGATGTACTCCTTAATTGGTTTATTGCCTTGAGTCAGTCTATTCCACCTATCCAATAGTTGAGGGAAGTACGAGGGAGGCAAGTACTTCTGCTTAAGTTCCCACTTCATGGATGGCCAATCGGTAATGGGGTAATCGTTCCTAGCTTCCCTAAGGCTCTCTAAGTTGGCCCAAAACTAGTTCGCCCTACCCGCGAGTTTCATCTTCGCAAAACTGACATTCCTAGCCTTGGAGATATTATACCACTTAAAGAAACTGTCCATACCTTTAACCGAGTCCAGGAAGAGCTGGGGATCGAGAGTGCCATCAAAGGTAGGAGCGTCAACTTTAATATTCTTCACGAGTGACATATCAGGATCATGACGAGGGTCATGTCCATAGTGAGGAGCTTGATGATTGGCACGATGTTGCCTCTCATTCGGGTAGGTGTCAACCCCATACATAGAAGGTGGTCTAAATGGGGTGTAGGAAGTAGGATGCTCTCTGGCTCGCTCAAGTGTGTCAAATCGCTCAGTGGTGTTCCTACGAAGCTTAGCTAGGTCGGCTTTGTTCTCTTTGAGTTGCTGGCTAATATTGTTCATTTGGCCTACCAACAAGTCTAAAGTCCTTACTAGTTGTTCTGGATCCATGGTTAGACATTATGGGTCACTTGGGGGTGAAACTAAGTGGTGGACAACACCCAAACACAAGGATAAACTCTCTAGAATGACACTAAATGGTGCAGGAAATGTTTGGACAGCAACTACAATAAAGGGCAAAGTGTCTTTAGGCAACTAGGGAAGTTGTTATAATAAGGGCAGCACCTAAATACCTAAGAAACAAGCCTTAATGCTCACTAAATGAGTGCAAAATTTTCTGGACAGCAATCATAAACGAAGATTAAAATGTTTTTAAAGATGTTATGCTTACGGAATTAACTAAGCATGATTACAAAAACCCTTAGGATGATTTCTAACATGAAAATCTTAAGCTAGTAATGCTCTGATACCGGATGATGTAGGACTACAATGCTTGCAATGGTTTTATTAAGAGCTTACACAACTTATTGACTAGAGAGATAACAACTAGAACTATTAGCAAATAAAACGATGAATCAAAATATAAGAGCGCCCACTTTCATTTAGGCTAAGTTGCATGTAAAGAGATTTTAATCAACAAAATATCATAGAAAAAACAGTATCATAAAAAGTAGTAGCTTTCAATAAAAATCTCTAGTTTAACAATAAGATTAGAAGCAAGTGAATGCACTCAAACCCTACGTTTACTAAGCTTAGCAGAATTGGGCAAACGCGACCTTCATGACTACAATCAAATCACAAGAAAGGATTAGACTTAAGAAATACAAGAAAAGGAAAATTAGAAAACCTTCGTCAAGGATCGGTTGCAATCCTCCACTCGACGATCTCTAGTTGCTCTTCAATAGCTTCAACCAAAGTGCCCAAGATGTGTTCTATGTAGTCTTCAACCGTGTGATCGATCCTCGGGTTGACGTCGAAGAGGTTGAATGGATAATATGCACGAAGCCGTGTTCGTCGTAGGCAAGTCTGTAGTCAGTGTCAAGATCGGACATTCATGAATGCTAGATAACGATTTCTTCCCAAAGATTGCTACTAACCTTGAACGCCGTTGAAGAGAAAGAAGTCTCTCTTCAACTTGAAGTGGGGATGAAGAAAAAGTGGTCGGCCAAGGGAGGAGAGCAAGGTTAAGGCTTTTAGTTCAGATTTTGGGCAAATAGATGGAGGGAAATTTAATTCAATACTTCCTAAATATTCTCTTTATTGAGAATAATTAAGGAAGAGAGAAAAGGCAAGAGGGGGGGGGGGCGGCGGCAAGGGGAGTGGGGGAGGCTTGATTTAATTCCATAAGGAGATACTCCCTTTTAGAAATAAATTAAATCAATGGGAGCGGAGCATGAAGATTTCAGCCAAGGAGGGAATAGGGGGATTTGAAATTATTTCCCAAAGTAAGATTTTGGTTTTAGGAAATATTTCCTATCCCAATCCAAAGAGGGAGGCCGGCGGCATTAATGGGGGAGGAGGGTTTTAATCAAGTGTTTAATGTTGGCTTAATTTAGGTTTGGGAATTAGGAAAGTATTTAATTAAATCCGATTTGAATTTGAAATTCAAATAGATTTAATTTAGGAACTTTCTTAAAATAACCTTGCTAATTTAGGAAAGATTTTAAATTTCAAATTGTTTGAATTTGAATTTCAAAATATTTTCAAATTATACCAACCCAAATTAGTCAAGGGAAAGAAATGGGGGAGGGGATCTAGGGCCGGTGGGTTGAGGGGTTTTGGGCATGGGGCCGGCGACTAGGTGGGGGATTATGTGGAGCTTGGTGGAGAGAAGGGGTAGGGCTTGGGGAAGGGAAAAACCGTGGGGATGATGTTGGCCGGTGGTGGTGGAAGGGGAAAGGAAGAGATACGCAATAGAACCACGAACCCGACTAGTCTAGGTTGGTGGGTGATGCGCAATCTTCTCTCTCCTAGGGATCTCTCTCCGATTTCTCAAGCTCTTACAAGACTCATGCAAGTGGAAGAAATATTTTTAATCAATCATTCATTAACCTTTTGAGTCATTGTATTTTTGATTTGTTTTATGTATTTTCTTATTTATGATGTCGTATTGTATTTGCTTTATTTAGTTTCCCGTTGTACCCTTTTAGTAAGGGATGTCATATGTAAGCCCTAGGGGCATTGTCATCCTTTATGTTTGAGTCATTGTAAGAGGCTATTTATAGCCCCTTGTTCTTTTTTATAGTTGCCGTAGATCGGCGGCCACGTCTCTGATAAACCTTTCATGATCTGATGTCCCCAGGACCCCATCACAAAGTCTTGTAACAGACCCTTAGATATTCTATGCAATGAATCCATTTTGTTTTATTGAAACAAAGTTGTGTACCAATATAATGGAGGAAATGTAACCATTGCACCCAAGCATAGACTTAACTAAAATCTTAAATAGCTTTGCTACTAATTTAAAAACTATTGAAGCCAAAAACTTATTGAACACTAAATCTAAATTCGCAATAAAAAATTTAAAGGCATAGATGCTAAGTTGATTTAGAACTGCAAATGCTGGTGATCTCAACAAAATAATGTCTTGTAAAGTAAGGAACGAAGCATGGAGGCATAAACAATGTAATTGATATGTTAATAGCACTTCAATGAAAATATTGAACTTCCCATAGACTTTTTCTATGCATTTCAAAGAAGGCTAGCCTTTTTCACTAAAATAAATGCTCTAAATTATTTTCCATTAGTATTTCAAGAATTCAAGTTCTGTGTGCTGCAGAATAAAAAGTTTAAATGGTGTAACATCAGTACATCTTATTATACAAACACCATATACTATGATAACTAAAAATATTTTCCTCCAAAGGAACTCTAACTAGACACAAGAAGTAAGAAAGTAAAATAGAACTTACCTATTAGCTTGCTTCTCCTCAAGCTCTCTAGTCCTAAATATTATTTTCACCCCCTGCATAAAACAGAGCTCAAGAAATTTAAACAACAATCTTTGCCCAAAGAAGAAAACTAAAACAATTATGAAAGCTTAAGCACATAATTACTTAGAGTACTCATATGTCTCCCGGTACAGCCTAATGAAAAAGAAGAATCTTACAGGAATAGATTCTAAAACTGCCGAAGCACTAGGCTTTGCAGCTCTTCCTTCTACAAACAGAAGGAAGTTTGTTACTCCAATTATTTTATGGTAAAACAACCATGGCAAGATCTGCTCCAGACCAGCTGAAGTGCTTGATGTGATACATATCTGCATTTTGCATATTAGAATATCTAAATCAGTGTCTTAGAACAAAAAATAGCTGGCCAACTACGGCATATAAATTTGATGAAGGGATAGCTCATCCAAGTGAAGAGAGGATAATACAGGTAAGGCATTCTACGACAAAGTATTAGAGAAATTGATTTTACTCATCAAAGCAAACTATAATTATGTGTGTTAACTAGTTCATTTTCAGGGAAATAATTAATCAAATCCATAATCTCTATCCAAAAATAGAAGACACCCGGGACACATGAAGTAAACACACAACAACTTGAAAATACCTAATCTGATTCTAAACTAAACGCTTAGAAAATGTTAAGTGCTCCAAAGCAGACGCCATCCAGATGAAAGGTCTTGCACTGTTGCAAGCGCATTACATTATCTTAGTCATACCTGATGCTAAAACAGCTGAAAAACAATATATATCACTGCGACAATTGATTCATTTGGTGAATGATGATCGTCAGATTAAAGTAGGAAACAGATATGACGAGATAAAATTATCGTTTTCCAATGTAGTTTCAAGCGTAACGCAAAATCCGCCTGAGTATGAAGAAATTGAAAGAAATGAATCCGCATAAAAAATTACAAGTCTGGCCCCTATTGTTTCCCGTCATCCCTACAACACACTAATTTGCAACCCCTGAATCGAATCCTGAAACTGCAGAATGAAATTCCCAATTCGATATCCTGTCGCTCCTTCACCCTTAGACCCAACAAGCACCTCTAAATAATAAGATGCGCTAACCAGAAAAGGAAGCCATACCAATGAACCATCCCAATACTCACCTTAGGCCGGGGATCAGCCTCGAAGTCTAACTTCCACCCGCGGTAATAAGGGAAAGAGGGCGAGGAGCTTCCACCGAGGATTTCACCGCAATCCGCCGCCGTCGTAGACAGCAGTGATGTCGCGAACGAAGATGAGCCGCCGACGCTGAGCGGGCTGTCACCCATGCCGGGGAAACTCCGATCCTCCGCCGCCGCCCATCTAGACGCGGGGTCGTCGAGGCCGCCGCGCCACTGGAGAATGAAAGCATAGATAGCGAGTACCATGGGGAGGACCGTAAGGACGAGTAGCAATCTCCAAACGAAGCTGCCATGGGCGTTGGCAGACGAGCCGGAGCTGCGCCAGGGGCCGTTCAGCCCCGCCATTGGGGTCAACCTCAAGGGGAAGAAATCAAGAAACCGAAAGAGAATAGAATCAAAGAACGAGGGGAGTCTACGAGGAGACAGACAACAAACGTAACGAAACAGAGAGAGAGAGAGAGAAGAGAGAGAGAGAGATCGGCTCTGTAAGATAAAACTAAACAAGGTTTTGCATCTGGTAAATCTCGATTGATTCTTGGTGCATGCGTTTCCTTTGTCATTTCACTAACACCAATGAGTATCACAGCACGAATCACGACGCATACTTGAAAGCCTGGGAAAGGTCCGCTTAGTTGAATCGGTACCGGTAGTCATTTTCCTTGAAACCTTTATTAGAGTTGGAATTTTTGCTATTGTGGTTAGGCATTCAAAATTTATTAAAGTTTTGCTTTGACTAACTTACTTTATTATTCAAAAAAATAAAAAGGCCCAAGCATAATTCAAATTTCAGAGAGGCAGATAATCTTTAAAGTATGGGTAAAAGATTCACACAATGAAAACAAAAATTTATCATGCATTGAGCAAGCACAAGCGAATGCATGAAAAATATTATAATTTGATATTTCCACACCTAATAATCACATATATTTTTTAATAATCATATTCATATTATATGGGATGTAGAACATGAGTTAGTTTGTATGAAATATCAAAAATCACTAGGATGGACAATATTAGTAGAGAGAAATACTATAGAGAGTGCAAACGGAAAAAATGTGCTATTTTTCAAAGAGAAGTGAGAGTTTAGATGTTTGATGGTTAAGATGAAAGGAAAAAAGATGATAGTATTATGATGGTGTTGTTTTATGAAGAGGAAAAGAAGAGAAAAATAATTAGGCAGAGATGAAATTGAAAGATTTATAATGGTTCTATCCGCAAGCTACATCCACTTTTGGGCAATCACAATCAAATACTCACAATATGTCTATATTAACGATACAAGAATATGTGAATAAAAGCATTACTTGTTTATGAACTTTACAAAGAGCATAAATAGATTAAAAATTTTTTGAAAGAAGATATAATATTAAAACACTTCAACCAAAGAAGAAATATAACTTTATGTGATTACATCATGTGGGAGAAAGATAAAATATCGAGTGATAAGTCTTCTATAGTAAAAGTGATGGAGACTTGTGCTGACCATTAAGAAAGGTTGTTCAATGAACCACTAGTTTAAGGGTCTCTTAAGATTGGTGGAAGTAAATAAAGAATGATTTTGATGCCTAGTAGGTAGGGCAATAAAGAATGTGTGTACTATAACATATATGAAGTTAGCTTAATGATATGGTGATCTTTTATGTACTAAGGAATTATATCTCAAATTTAGTTGTATTATTGAGATGTGATAATTTGATGAGATATAGGAATTACTTATAGCATAATTGTTTTAGTTCGAAGCTATAGACAAGAACAATGAAGAGGTGACGTGAGTTTTATGCCATCTTGAGTCTCTTATGAAAACATATGAATGTGGCGGCATTAAATGCACTGTATATGATCAAGAATGAGTTCTCAAGCTAGTGTTTTCATTAAATATGTGCGCCCTAATAGTGGTGGTGGATACTAGATCTTGCATGATTTGCCATATATAATGCTTAAAATGGGTTTGAGAATATGCAAAATGCAGCGAGGCACACAACATGAATTGGCTGAAATATTGAGAGCTCTTGAGAAATTTCTCAAGTAGACACCCAAAGCATGATAGGGTGAGATATTTCCAGACAAGACTCCCTAAAAGGGTCCTTGATAGGGTTTTCAAATTGAATCTCTTTATATGGGCACTCAATAAAGCTTTCGAAGAAAGACAAGTTAGTGGGCCCATTGGGACACATTATTTCAGTAGGCTCTGGCACCATGGCATTATTATAATGGTGGTTTTCTTTTATTATAGTTATTGTCAGTGGTTGAGATTTCATAAAAATTTCAAAGAATACTTTTTTAGTTGTATTTTCTCCCATTTTTGAAGTGCCACAAGTTTAGTATATGATTCCTCATAATTTGTTGTTCATCATCAAGATCTTAAGCTCTCAAAGGAATTTTACTCGAGCAAGCTCCTTTCTTCAATTATTGGCATATATGAAATGCTGTAAAGTAACCTTCTTTGGGTTTACTAATCTCCAAAGAACTCAAGTGGCTAAGAACTTTGTGATGGCACTGTAATGGAAACAATGATGGAGGCGATAGTTGAGCTCACTCTTCATCATTTGAAGGTCATATATATTAACACGAATCAAATATTAAAGAGGCTTATGTAGCAATGGTTAGTGGTGAGAAGTGAAATAAAATGAGATAGGAATAATTCTTTATATGGGGTTCCATAATGTAATAATGATGAATGAAATTTTTGGTGGCTACAAGACCATTGTATTGCTTCATATAGTAAGGAAGATCACATTAGGGGAAATTAATAAAAAAAAAAGTAGTTTATTAAGGGAAAAAAATAAAATGGATGAGCTAAGAATGTAAGAAGAGTGATAGAGATCGATGTTATAAAGGACTCTACCTTACATATCCAATGTGGTTGTTGAAGGTTGGGAAGAGATGAGGGATACCCTTAAAGAGCTCAAGGTGTAAGAGTGGCAGTGTTTACAAGTAGAATTCAAACAAAGCTCATAGAAAATTATGTTGCCTCCAGGACATTCTAATGATTATAAAAGATAGAGATGGTGAGAGATTGGATGGTTGATATAGAGAAATAAATATCTTCTCTAGATACTAACATGAATGATCATTTGAAGAAGTTGTACCTACACAGGGAGCATTGTGATGAGTATAAATAGGCTTAGGACAATATCAAGGGGAAGTTATGGTTGTTTAGTCTTAACAAGCCAGACTTCTAGGCTTGGATGAAAGTGATCAAGTAGGAAATATTTATCATTGTTTGTTTATGCTATCTTATTTGAAGGGCGCACTAATGAATTTTGGTGTAACAAGTCTATGTTTTAACATGGTGGATAACTTTGTGTACTAGTGAGCCATGGTAGGATGGGCAATCGAGATATAGTCATGGAGTCCTCTGTGACACCTCTAGGATCAAAGTACTATTTAAACTGGTCTGACCAGATTAGAAGTCAGATAATCTATTAAATTTTGTGTTTCAACTCTTTCGCATGTATCTAAGAATGATTTGTGTGCATGAAAAGATATGCATGTGTTATGGAGCGGTTTTCAGGGGTCTAAATGCATGTTTGTGAAAGCTAGAGTTTTTCCATGCTTTTAGGTTAGGGTAAGGAGTTTGTAGAGTGAGGCTAGTCAATGGGTGATAGTTTATGTTTTAATTTCTGATTTTGATTTTATATGTTATTTTGTAGCAGTTGTTGGATATTGTATATATGTATTTTGAGAATTTATTATATATGTAAATATATATCTTTAACAACAATATAATTATGTTTTCACTTATATTAATTTATGTGAGCTGTGGTTGATATATAAAAGATAGAAATGTGTGTAATTCTTCCTATTTATATTATGTGGGGCCATAATGGACTAGTGCTCTTGGAAGACTAAATAGTAAATATACCATAATTAAAATAACCTTTTTATGATAATTTTTGACATTAGAACAAAATCTTTGGGAGATAAATTTCATTTATCTTCCATTACTTCTAGCACTTATAAGAAAATATTATATTTTTTGCCCCACAAGAGAAGCACAATGCTACATCCTCGTTTGGCCCTAAGAATCTTTTTAAGTCCACATATAACAAAAAATATAAGTAATGATATTTATAGCATTTAATAATTTTAATATACAATACATCAATAAAACAAAATTGTGTGTATCAAGATTATTTTAATATTGAGTTTTTATAATTGACTTGACTCTTAATCATATTGACTTAGTAAATAATCAAATAAAATGTATTCTAACTCAACCTAATTAAGTTCTCAACAAACATGAATGAAAAATCAACCACAAATAAGCTATTCGACAACATCACTAGAATATTCTAACATTATTAGCTAGTTACTAGAATAATTCCTTTCCTCTAGATCATCTTTCTTCCACTCAAATGAGTTGTCCAAATTCCCCTTACATATCCAATGTGGTTGTTGAAGGTTGGGAAGAGATGAGGGATACCCTTAAAGAGCTCAAGGTGTAAGAGTGGCAGTGTTTACAAGTAGAATTCAAACAAAGCTCATAGAAAATTATGTTGCCTCCAGGACATTCTAATGATTATAAAAGATAGAGATGGTGAGAGATTGGATGGTTGATATAGAGAAATAAATATCTTCTCTAGATACTAACATGAATGATCATTTGAAGAAGTTGTACCTACACAGGGAGCATTGTGATGAGTATAAATAGGCTTAGGACAATATCAAGGGGAAGTTATGGTTGTTTAGTCTTAACAAGCCAGACTTCTAGGCTTGGATGAAAGTGATCAAGTAGGAAATATTTATCATTGTTTGTTTATGCTATCTTATTTGAAGAGCGCACTAATGAATTTTGGTGTAACAAATCTATGTTTTAACATGGTGGATAACTTTGTGTACTAGTGAGCCATGGTAGGATGGGCAATCGAGATATAGTCATGGAGTCCTCTGTGACACCTCTAGGATCAAAGTACTATTTAAACTGGTCTGACCAGATTAGAAGTCAGATAATCTATTAAATTTTGTGTTTCAACTCTTTCGCATGTATCTAAGAATGATTTGTGTGCATGAAAAGATATGCATGTGTTATGGAGCGGTTTTCAGGGGTCTAAATGCATGTTTGTGAAAGCTAGAGTTTTTCCATGCTTTTAGGTTAGGGTAAGGAGTTTGTAGAGTGAGGCTAGTCAATGGGTGATAGTTTATGTTTTAATTTCTGATTTTGATTTTATATGTTATTTTGTAGCAGTTGTTGGATATTGTATATATGTATTTTGAGAATTTATTATATATGTAAATATATATCTTTAACAACAATATAATTATGTTTTCACTTATATTAATTTATGTGAGCTGTGGTTGATATATAAAAGATAGAAATGTGTGTAATTCTTCCTATTTATATTATGTGGGGCCATAATGGACTAGTGCTCTTGGAAGACTAAATAGTAAATATACCATAATTAAAATAACCTTTTTATGATAATTTTTGACATTAGAACAAAATCTTTGGGAGATAAATTTCATTTATCTTCCATTACTTCTAGCACTTATAAGAAAATATTATATTTTTTGCCC